CTTGATCATGGATGGAGGTTGCATAGTCATGTGCTATATGAATAGTACACCAGGGCGACCGCTTGGATCGAGGTTTAGGGCTGAGTGCGGTCAAAGGATAACAACGTAGCCTAATCATTAACCCGTGCAGGGAAAGGTCGTAACATTATATCTATCGTGTCTTCAATGGACTCTCTAAATATTATTCTTCATACTCCAATAGCTTATCATAAGTTTTCTTATGTAAAAAAGTCATAAAAAACTACCATATAGTACATTTATCAAGCCATATAGCTACACAAAGGCAGAGAGTGGAAAATATCAATAGTGGTTTAGATAGTCTATTGGAGTGTTTTGTTTTCTAAAATGTGTGATAGAGAGTCATGTAGAGAGCCTCTAAGAAATGTGCATGGTGTGTTAGTAAACAATATTGTTTTTCGAATGTTTTTATTTTGTGCATGTTAAAGTAACCCACCATCTTGACGAGGCAGCCAAATTTAGAGATAACCAGATGTCGGTGCGAAATGTGGCCAACAAGTAAATATTTGTAGTTTTGTCGTGCGTTGTGATCGGATGTGGCCTAGCACTCAATGACACAGGATTTATACTGGTTCAGGCAATAGGCCCTACGTCCAGTTGAGATCGGTCGGTGACTTTATTCCTGAGGCCAGGTGCTCGAAGTTTGATGTGGGGTTACAATCGAGTAAGGAATGAGAAGGGGGTGTTAGAGGTCCGGTCGGACACTGAACCGAGTGGAAGAGAGTGACGGATGCTCAAACGTGCGCTAAGTATTGGAGTGTATGCTCTGTGTGTCCGAGCTTATCAGCTGTTGAGAGCGTGTAGACTGTGTAGCTGTCGAGCTCTAGAGCCGTTGTATTGTTGTCCTCGAGTCTTCGAGTCCTCGATCCTTCTGGTAGGAGAGAGTGTATCCCCTTTTATAGTTGAAGGCGATGGCCTTACAAGTCAGAGAGAAAGAGAGAGTGCATACGAGCGCTGCCTAGTCTTGTTGCCCACGCCATCGTGTACGGGATGATCGCCATCGCCCACCTTACTGTTCATGCTCTGTTGTATCTGGTAGGCTGCACAGTGTTCGGCAGATACGGCAAACGACGGCGCCCACAATACTGTTTATGCTCATACGCGTCTGACAGGCTCTACTGTGTTCACCTGGTACGGCAAACGACGGCGCCCACAATACTATTTATGCTCTGATGCGTCTGGCAGGTTCTACCGTGTTCGCCTGACATGCCCCGACGACACTGTCCTACAGGTGCGCAGGGCATGGCAGGGTACGGTCCTCGGTATTACGGTTGACTTGAGTGCCTTACCTTACCTGCTCCGCCTGCTCCCCGGGCCCACACCGAGCGGGCGTCTCCGGTCGGTCGTTCCCAGTCGGCCTCGACCATGTCGGTCGGGAAAGAGCAGCGAGCAGAGGTCCTGGCGTATTCTCGGTCGAAGAAAGGGGGTCGAAGTCGGACTGCGGTCCCACCATGGCTAGGCCTTCCGGTCGCACCTCCGATCAGATCCCCTGGCCGAAGGTGCCGGTCGGGGACCGAATCGTGGTCTTGGTCTGTCATTGTGTGTCTCGGCCGGCCCAGGCACGTGTTGTCGCTGCGCCGCCTGCTGGGCTGAGTTTTAGGGAAGCGGGTCCATCGGGGACCCCGGGTTTATGAACCCGACACCAGATAAACTTTAAACTCATTTTTAGGCAACATCGCTAGCGTGTTAGGCATATTATTATGCATTCAATCTAACTAATCAACCCAAAAACTTGTCATTTAGGCATACATATGGTCCAAACTTTGGTAACATCGGCTACAAACATGTTTATAAATATTTGCCAGGGTCACTTGGAGAGAATTCAACGAAATGTTCCAAATCAGGTTTTTTGGAAATCTCCATATGGAATTACTGTATGCTTAAGGCACAAGAGCACAATTTTTGTGATAATGAATTTGATGGTCTTCTGAGAACTAGAGGTCCGTTTGAATCCACGCAGATTCTACTATCCAGATTAAAAAAAATCAACGCAGCATTGAAACGGGTGGGATAATGTATGAAGCCAAGATTTAAACAACACCATAGTCCACCTAATGCTAGATAATATGGATATATGAGATACTTGTGCCTTCCAACACATGAAAAGACAACTTTGCCCCTACCTTATCCTCTTTCTATCTCTAGTCATCATTCTCAGGGTATTATGGACAATATACATATTCTACCACCCATAATCCATAGCCAAAATCCTGAGATCTAAACATCCGGCATGTTCGTTGGTTGGTTTCTGGGCTGATTTGGATTGACTGGTGCTGGTTTGTTGTAAGAGAAAAACACTGTTGACTGGCTGATTTGGGCTGGCTGAAACCAACAAACGAACAGACTGATCATAGATTTTTATTATCTATAAAATCTGGAATATGGAAATCCTAAAAAAATCTCAATTCCTATAATCTCTGGGGGATTCAAACGGCACCTAGATGCCTGAATTTTGTTGTCTTACGCACTAGACCACTAGTAAACAGAACGGTACTTTGAATATTCTCCAAGTGTTTGTTAGTTAAAAAAAAATCTACGGTATTGACATGATGAATACAGATCCTCCCGCAGCATGATGGCTAGCCCCGGACCGGCCTGTCCCTGCTGCGTCTGCGCGGGCCTACCGCCCAGCGTCCCTAGGCGCGCGATCGATGGCCCCGGGGGCACGCGCGCAGCGCCGGTGGCGGGGCCCGGCACCAAACACGGCACCCCTCCGGCGCACGATGCGGATCCGACGCCCGCCCGTGCGCTCCCTCCACGCGCGCCGCATAATGGCCTCCCGCCTCACGGCAGCGTGCGGGCGTGCTTGCTAGCTCGCCAGCCTGCTTCGTGCTCGGGAAGTTGGGATGGATTGCTCTGCCACGATGCCCACCTCCATTGACCCCCTCCGGTCCCTGCCGACGTAGGGGGCTGCGAGCTCCTCCTCGCTGACGCGTGGGGTCTCCCCGTGACGGGGACCCGCGGATCAGCGGCGGGGGAAGGTAAGCTGGACGGTGCGGCGGGGCCTGGGGGAGGAGAGCAGCACGGTGGGAAGCGGCACGCGCGCCCATCGAGTGCGCACGCCACCTCATTAATTCGTCTCCAGCTCCGCGCCCCATCCATCCATTCCCATCCATCACTGCGCTCGGCACTGCTGCCCGCCCGCCTCGCCGCTCCACCACCATCCCCCTCTCTGTATCACACCACACACACTCAAAAGAAGTGCCTCGAAAAGGAAACGAGCGAGCAACAGCAGACAGGGAAGGGGGAGGGAGGGGAGGGGGAGCGACCAATCGGACTATCGGAGCATCCAGCCAACCACCGGCCGCTCGCTCGCTGTTCATCCGTTATGCTAGCAGTATAAAACAAAACCCTGTGCCCCTCCTTTGCCGGCTCACTCCATCCCTCCCTTCCTTCCTTCCTGCCTTGTCCGGTTCCATTGCTCGCTCACCCTCCATTGGCGTCGTCGTTTCGTTTCGTTTCAGAGAGCCGTGATAGGTATGATCTTGATCAGTGATCACTACTCCTACATGCTGGCTGTTCCAGTTTTCCAGATGCCTTCATCAGAGCTTTGCTGTTTCAGGCGTAGGCGAAGGAAGCATGACGTGGGTGGCGGCCGTCGTGCGGCTGGCGGTGTTCTTCGGCGTTGTTATCCTGTGATCTCGCGCCGCTCCGATCGTCGGGAGGCCGACGCCTGCTGGGGCCATACCGGCGGCTGCTGTGCTGTGGAGGGCGTGTGCTTTGGGTTCAACCGGAGGAGCCTCGAGTCCTCGACGGGACGCCGCCGTTTGACAGGTGCCGCGTCGCGTTCTATGCAACTTTGCCAGGTCAGCCCTCAATCTCACACCAACGATTCTTCAGGTTTCCTTCCGTTGCATGCATTGTTCAATTCTCAGATTTTTTTTTTTTTTCTGCGCATTGGCGCCTGCAACTGCAAGCATCGGATCATCATCTGTTCATATGTGGATGAGCGAGCAACTTGGTGCAGTCTGTTATGTTACGACTAATGTAGTACGTAGAACTGTAGATAGGAAAGCGACCGGGGTCCACTGCGTGGCGGCTCTCCACGTCAACGGTGAGGGATAGGACAGCGTGTTGACAATGCTTTGCGCAGTCAAAAGATGGCGTTTTGAAACTTGCTTTTGGAGAAAGAAACTGAAGTAGTATTGCTGAATGCGCCACCATCGCCACTCTTTTTTTTTTTTGAAGCAATCGCTACTCTGTTTTTAGTTGCACATATAGGAGTGTGTTCTTTCTTCATCTAAGAAATGTGTGCTCTGTTCCTCCTCTGTTCTGCTACATTCTTGCTTGCGCTTCTAATGGACGTCGTCCATAGGATAAGCTAGTTTATGTGTCGGCAAGCACAGCCGGCAAAAAAACTCGCAATCATACACTGTCGCTACCTTTAACCGGCATTGTTGTAATGTTGTTCACAAATTGCTGGACACTAAAATGCACTTACTTTACCTTTCGCGCTCTTATATCTTGTTGCACTTGTCTATACAACTTGCCAAATTGCATGGTCTACCCTCTTTGTGCTCTGTTCTCACTTTTCAAGCTGATCCTTCTGTGAGATTGAAACACACTTTAGAACAAGTTGTAAAACATATTTCATACGAAAACAAATCGTAGCCGACTAGCCGATTCTACACATAATAGTCTGCCCGATCGATATAGTCTGTTACATGCAAATATAATTTGTTTTCCAATATTCATTACTTGTTGCAGGCCCGAATACTTCCGGCAGCTGCTGAAGACCGAGACGTAGACTGGGCCATCATCATTCACCACCCCACTCTCCTTCGAAGCAACCTCAAACCCGAACCAAACTAACCGAAACACAATTTTGGATTCAACCACAAAATAGCCAGCCTCCATCTTCAGTTAACAAGAATCTCTCGAGTTCCTGTTCAATTCCTTGCAATCAGAAGAAGCCAGAAAACTCTCAAGATTTCCCACACAAACACAGCCAGAGGCCAAGCAACACCTGCACGAGTGGTCCAATGCAGGGAGACCCCGGGTACGGGTACGGTGGCTACGGCGCCGGCGGGTACGGTGGCTACGGTGCCGGCGCCGGCGCTGGAGGCTACAGCTACGACATTGCCGCCAACGGCGGCGGAGGCGGCGGCTACTACTCGGCGACCGACCGGTACCCTGCCGCGCCTGCTGCTGCCTATGAGGACCCGCTCGCTGGTCAGAGGCAGCACGACTTCCCGGCGCCGCTCACGGGGCTGGAGTTCCAGCCGTCGGACACCTGCCCCAAGAACTACGTCATCTTCGACCAGACGTACGACCGGAGCCGGGTGATGTTCCACCCGTCTCTGGCCAACAACTTCGGCAACCCCGCCGGCGCCGGATACGGCTACGGCAGCCACTGCTACGGCTACGGCTACGACCAGAGCTACCACGGCGAGAGCGCCTACCACGGCTACGGTGGTGGCGATGGCGGCGGCGGTGTCTCGGTCCGGCAGAAGGAGGACACCGACGAGATCGACGCGCTGATGAGCACGGAGGACGGCGACGACGAGGACGACGTGCTCAGCACGGGCCGCACGCCGGGGTGCCGCGCCGGTGGCTCCCCGGATTCCACGTGCTCATCCGGCGGGTACGCTGGAAACAGCGGCGGCGGCCGGAAGCACGAGTCGGGCGGCAACGGTGAGAAGAAGAAGGAGCGGATGAAGAAGATGGTGCGGACGCTCAAGGGGATCATCCCCGGTGGCGACCGGATGGACACGCCGGCCGTCCTCGACGAGGCCGTCAGGTACCTCAAGTCGCTCAAGGTGGAGGTGAAGAAGGCCGGCGCGCGTGGGTCAAGCAGCTAGCTAGCTATCAAGCCGCAGCTGGTAGTCTGGCTCTGGCAGTCAAAATAGGAGTATCTCTCTGCGCATCGGCAGATAAGACGAGACCGGCGATCATACACGCGGTGGCGACGACAACGACAGCCTCTCATTTTGATTTTGGGCATCAGATGCCATTCTGTGTATCTGACTACGTACCTTGTTGGCTACTGGGCCTCGAACTCGACGGCTACGAGAAGATGATGGTCAAGGAGGCCAACGGTGAGCAGGCTTCGACGCGGTCATCCATGAGACCTTGAGCGGTGGAGATAGATGTGGTAATGTATTGGAATCTAAATCCAAATAGAGAAGTTTTATTAAAATGGCAAAGAATTCAACATCCAATCTAATTCAGTTCCAAATGACTAATGTCCAATCCAATCCAAATGCTTTAAAGTCCAAATCCATTCCCCGACGATTCAAATAATAGCAAAAGTATTATGTTCATACGTATGTTGACATCATGTTTGAAGCTGAACCTTAGAACTAAAATCTCACGTTCACGCCTTCAAATTTGGGAAAAAAATTTAACCAAAATTGGTTAGAAACTATCCAGTATGACAACCCACTATCTGTGCAAATTGGTGTTGGTATATGTAAATGTGAACATATCTCACGATCACACCTTAAAAATTTACCAAAAATGACTGAAAATTATGAGGATGATTTAGTTAAACAACCATCTACTCTATGTACATTAGTGTGGCTATATAAAATTGTGGCCTCATGTAAAAACTGGACCACAATTAAAACCTTGAGTTCACACTTTAAAAGTTTAAACAAAATTAACTAAAATTTGTTTGAGGTGACTCAATATGATAATCAACTAATCTGTCTATTAGTGCAGCAAGATCAACATGTGAGCTCCATATTAGAAATTTAACCTACACATTAGAGACCCACTTTCTTAAGCCCAAAGGTAAATCCAATGGACATTAGACTTTTTGAGTTGCTCTTCAATGAATTTTGGATACTATTGGATCACATGGAGACGGATATCAAATTCAAATGGATATTATCCAAACATGTCCAAAACAACAAATGTCATTAAATTTTGGATGATCCAAATCCATTAGAGGCAGTGGAAGTGCGGCGAGAGGCAGAAGATCAAGGATTTCCTCGACGTTCTCATTACGCTCAAGGACGCCGAGGCCAAACCATTGATTACTATCGAGGTGGTCAAAGCTCAGTCACAGGTGCAGGTCATCATACGCGTTGCATGTTCCTATATATGGGTTCATTCTGCCACTTGCACATCGGCATATGCGCATGGCAACATAAGGTTTAGGATGTTTACTGAGGTTAGTCTCAATGCTAAGTTTCGTAGCGTTGTTACCAAGACTCACATTTTTATGTTGGTAACTGTGACAACGAGTTTTATCCAGATGAAACTCTCTCTACCTCTCTCTTCATAATTAAGCTATCAAGTCATCAAATTTGCTAATGTGTCACACTATTAAATGCAAATAAAACCCAGATGAAACCGTCCACTAAGACTGGCCAAATAAGTTACATAAATGCATTTGGGAATCCAGAAGAAAAAAATAGGAGGTCTAAACTACACCAGGCTAAGGCCACGTTAGTCAAGCCTCAACCAGGTTCGGCTTCTTTATGCATTGTACAACAGAGTTATTTTCTCTCTCGAGCTGTTTTTAAAATAAACTAGGATCTGATGAAGCCAATGTCACTCATTAATATGACATCATCATGTTGTATGTTAATTCAAGAAAACTAGTTTAAAATAGTTTTGTTTGGAAACATAGATTTTTTTTTATCAAAATACATATCAAAGAGAAGCCCTTTTCAGTTGTTCTCTAATTTCAAATGGACTCAATCAAATGTTTGCACACTAACACCCTTTCAATTTGATCTCTAATTTCCAATGGATACTATCAATTGATTTGCACGTTCCTAAATCGTTAACAATATGTCAATATCTCTGATGAACCAAATTGAACGTAAGTTTAGTTGCCTTGTGTTCTAGTAAGTAGTACTGCTGCTACTTGAATAACAACTAAACACTGTTCTCTTGTGAAAGCATCTAGGCCCCTAGTTGGGTTTCGGTGATTAATGACAATACATAATTACTGTGACTAACGTGTGTTTTGCAGAGGCAATTAAGTTAGGTTACGGTAATGGAGATCGATTGGGCTATCATGATGGTCATGCCCCTACGATGGAAATCGTTTCGGTTTTCAAAGGATGGACGACAAGGTTAAGGATGGACTAGTTCTGAGTGTCGATTGGAGTTGGAGTAACACTTAAGAGTAGTTTAGGACTTTGTTTTTCCTTTGACCGTACTATTAAGGGGGTACGGACGAGTAACTTGACCTAGGTGAGTCTAGTGGGTTAGGTGTGGTGCACACTTGCTAAAACTAGCGCTAGTTAGCTCCTACATAGCCCTTAGATCCAATGGAGCAAACTTCATTCACACATGATCGAGAGTTGGAAGTGAATGAAGGGTCAAATACTAATCGGACGCTGGCTCCGGTGTGATCGGACGCTGGCTCAGAGTCCGATCAGTTCATTTGACCAAGGTGTTTTCGTCTGGCGTGACCGGACGCTGAGAGGTCAAGTGACTGGACGCTGAGAGCCAGCGTCCGGTCGTTTCCAGTAAGGTTCAAGAGAGGGGAAATCTCGACCGGACACGTCCGGTCACACTTTAAACACTAGAGTTTGGGGTGAACTGACCGGAGCGTCCAGTCAACATGACCGGAGCGTCCGGTCACCCCGCAGAGGCACATAACGGTTCATTTTTCAACCCATGTTATAAATACTTCCTCCATTCGTGTGATGGGGTACTTTTGCTCATTCGAACAGTTGAGAAACACCTTTGAGAGTGCCAAGAAGAGCAAGGTCCTAATGAGGTGATTGAGATTTGAGAATCCCAAAGAGAGCCCTCATTAGTGAGATCAAGAGAGTAAAGTGTGCATCCACTCTTCTCATTAGGCTTGTCGTGGTCAAGTGAGAGTTCGTGCTTGTTACTCTTGGTGATCGCCATCACCTAGACGGCTTGGTGGTGATTGGGAGCTTGGTGATCATCCGGAGAGCTTCTGGATGACCCAACTCAAGTTGTGAGCGGTTGTGGGTGATTCACCGCGACGGAGTGTCGAAGAATCAACCCGTAGAAAGCACTTGATCCTTGTGCGGATCAAAGGGGAGCTACACCCTTACGTGGGTGCTCCAACGAGGACTAGTGGGGAGTGGCGACTCTCTGATACCTCGGCAAAATATCGTCGCGTTCCTCCTTCTCTCTTTATTTTGAGCATTTACTTTGAGCAATTCAATTCTTGTCATTTACATACCTAGAATTGCCATGCTAGAGTAGGATTGGAACTTAGGATGCTAAACTTTTATGCGTTAGATTAATAGAAACACTTTCTAGGCACAAGGGGTTAATTAGTCTAACCGTAGAGTTTAATTATTGCAAAGAAATTTAAAATTAGCCCAATTCATCCCCTCTCTTGGGCATCTTCATCATTTCAATTGGTATCAAAGCCTCATGCTCACGTATTTAGGCTTAACCGCCTAGTGAAAGATGTCTCACGGGGATGGACCTCCTCCTATCTTTGAGGGGGATGATTTTCCATATTGAAAAATCCACATGGAGGCGTATCTAGAAGCTCTAGATATTGGAATACTTAGAGCCGCCTCACAAGGTTTCCCAAAACCTCGGGATGCCACACACCCACAAGGCGATGAGTTGAATTACGAAAAATGGAATGCAAAGGCTAGAAACACCATATTTAGAGGCCTTTGCAAAGATGTGTTCAACCGGGTGAGGAACCACAAAGACGCCCATGCACTATGGTCGGACGTTTGTGCGCTCCATGAGGGAACAAAGAGTGAGCGTGAGGAACGCTATCATCTTGTCATGAAAAAGCTTAACTCTTTTGAAATGCTTCCTAAAGAATGTGCTGATGAAATGTATTCACGTTTGAATGTTCTTGTAGAGGAAGTCAATGGGCTTGGACTAACTCAAATGCAACCATCCAATGTTGTAAGAAAGATCTTGAGTGTCCTCTCCATTGACAAATATGGGCACATTGTGACCGTGCTTCATCAAGGTGATCTTTTCACCGTTACACTGACATAAATCTTGGGAAAGATCAATGCTCATGAGATGTACATGCACATCACACCTCAAGATGGCTCATCCTCTAACAAGAAGAAAGAAAAGGACTTAGCATTCAAGGCTAGTCAAGAGAAGGACAAAGCAAGGCATGAGTATGAGAGCTCAAGTGATGATGAAGTTGATGATGCAAGTCTTGCTCTCATGGTGAGAAAAACCGCCAAGATGCTAAAGAAACTTAACAAGAGTGGCATCAAGTTTTATGATAAGAAAAAGAAGTTCTTCACTAGCTCTAGAAGGAAGCCAATCTCCGAGATGGATTGCTACAATTGTGGAGAACTTGGTCATCTAGCTCACCAATGCACAAAGCCCAAGAAAGACAAGTTCAAGAACAAGAACAAGGGCAAGAAAGATGACTCAAGTGATGAAGATAAGAAGAAGAAAGACAAGCCATACAAGAAGAGAGATGGCAAGAAGAGAGACTTCCATAAGAAGAAGAGTGGAAAGGCATACATCGTCGGTGATTGGCTCACGAACATTGATTCATCTAGTGGCTCATCCGATGATGATAGTGACAATGAGAAGGTGGCCGCCATTGTTATTAACTCTTCATCATCTTCATCGCCACCATCGCCATTATCCTCTACACACCTATGCCTTATGGCCAAGGGTGAACGCAAGGTATCAAATGATGATGAAATTAGTGGTGATGAACATGCTAATAATGATGATAGCGATAGTGATGATGATGAATATGAATCACCTTCTTATGATGATCTTGTTAAATTGCTAAATAAATACTCCAAGATCATTATAAAGACTAGAGCTAAGAATGACAAGCTAGAAGCTAAAAATGATTTTCTTTTAGCTAAATGTGATATAGCCGAAAAAGCGAGTATTGAGCTTAGAGAAG